CCCCCCATAGCTATTTTGAGAGAGCTCTGGGGATAGATGTCTTTTTTTACAGTATTACTGTAAAAAACGTTGACAGGATGTCTTAATGAGAAGAAATTTTGATGCAAAGTTGTATCATTTTTACTAATTTTACCCCCTTCTCCTGTAGAAGAGAACATGATGATGCGTGCCCGTTACTACGGTGACCGAGACTTGTACCGTAAAGCCCAGCAGATGACCACGCCCAACTGTGATAGAATCAACAAGCTGTACGGTGGATAGGGTCAGCGGAGGAATGCCAGCAGTTCTTTCTGTAATTATAAACTTGCTTTCCCTTGGTTTAACGGGTCAACTATATGTCACAGTCCAGCATCTGTGTCAACGTGAAAGTGATCTCAGGCCACCAGGTTAGCTCACTGAAGAGCTAATCTGCCACTGGTCACCACAGTGAAGACAGACGCTATGTACAGTAGTATTTGCAGCTTTATTGTAATGGGGAAATTCCCCTAGGCTAGACGGTCCACTGTTTTCTGCACATGTACATCATTCATTTCATGTGTCTAAAGAACTCCAAATGATGCAAATTGCTTCTTCCTCATCAGTCATCACCCAAATGATTGATACTGATAGTAATTAAACTCTGTTTAACAGTCTTGTTTTGGTTCTGTTTTAGGTTGACCTAGAATTCTGTATTGCGTCTTCAATAGCTTAGCTCAAGGACATGGTAATGTCCCAGAATATCTTCACTTATCCTACTAGTGCTTGTGCTACCAGTGGACTAGCCCCTGCTGTAGTGTTTGCACGACTGTGTGGCCCAAGGGCTATAGAAACACAGACATGCACTGCCCTATACACCAAAAGGTATGGGAACAGTCTTAGCTAACAAATCAGATAGCTCTCCATTATAGCAGAAAAGGAACCAGCCTTCTTCAGAGCAACTTTGAGATGCGTCGTTCCATTCTCTGGCCATATGATCTCTTGTATCTTTATGTTTTATGGTTTGTCTGGAAGTTAATGCCACAAAAACATTGCAAGCCAAATGTCAACTAAGTGTCATTGGGCTTACAGTACATATGTATTTGATTTGTTGAAGTACATGTAGCTAAATGATGTGTGTAAATTTTGGCGAAATTTAGTTCTGTAATAAATTCCAGAGTGTCCATGTTAGTTCTATAATGATCAGTTACAGTGATCACTTCTAAAAGTAGCTAATTTTCTTTGTATAAAGCAATTGTCTGACATAAAGTAATAGATGATTGTACATTGTGTTTATTATGAAACCAGGGATTTAATATACCTGTGTGAATATAGCATGGTTACTTTTAATTGTCAAATAAATGTAGATGGGCTATTTATATGGATATGCAAAAAATAAACCATTATACAGTGTACATTACACATTAATTCCCGGTCTAAAATTTGATATAACTACAATGTAGTACCCAGACTAGAAGAATGATCAAAAAAATGTAACACTGTCTCGGAAAGAATGTGGTTGAAAATACCAAGAGAAGTTTTGAAGACAGCGTTTTTTTAAGCTCAAAATGATATTGGCCATATTTAGTAAATGTTCACTGTGGTTTATGTAATGTTGCTGCTTGAAAAACTTGGAATTTTAGAAATGGTTAAAATGAATAGGAGATGAACAAAACTAATCAAGCACCACAAATAATATGTTGTACATAAATGTCACATTTTGGAAATCACAGCCTTGTCATATGGTATTTTCTGGAACTATGAATGTTACACTGATGTTTGTAATATGTTTGCCAATAGTATTGCCCTAGATTGCTAGTTGTATTGCTGGCAAAGTTTTCGGCACTACTTATTTCCCTATCTTGTAAAATTGCAAACTGTACATTGTATACACATTATATCTGGTCAGTGCAATCTGTTTAAAACTTGGATTTTAAGATATTTGGGTACCATGTAAACAAGTAGTTTTAACATAATGTACATGTATGTAAAGTACAGATATGAACTACTGTTTTACTGTGTATTTAACTCCTGAAACTGAGTATCATGATATGTTCATGCGTAAGAAGACATCATATGTGTGAATAGATGAATGCAAATGTAAGCTTTAAATACATCAACAGAAATACTTCTTAGTCAATGTCATTTCCTACTTACTTACATTATGGTTAGTATAAGGCCACACTGACTTAATTTTATAGATGACATCTGCGCGCGCATTGATTTTCGCCTGTTCTCAAAAAAAAAAAGATCATGTCCTCCAAGGCTCTGGCATGGCTCTAGGCCTGGGTAGTCCATAGTACTGGTAGTTAGCGACACTACAGAGCCGGGCACCCAGGCTACCGAAGCTCCACGACTCAAGAACTCAGTACATACGTACATGTACAGTGCCGAGTCATAAATTCCGCAAAAAGCCAGTATGTGCCGGCTTGTCGTATACGTCGCTAAGTACTGCCGCAAATTCACAATACCAGCTTTGTATTCCTGTGGTTTAGAAGCATTTTTATTTTTTGGTGGAATTTTTTTTTTATTCGCCCGCGCGCACTAGTTTGGGGGTCTTTCATAAAATCAAGTCGGCGTGGCCTAATATCTGATTTCTTGTATTTAAAAAGAGACTACTGAGAAAGACCATGATGCCCTTTCGCCTATGGCTTCTTGTTTTACATTTATTTTTCTCAAAACAGTTTTTGGTATGATTGTCTTTGTTATCATTTGTTTTGAATAAGGGTTTTGAATTGGCAGCCATGCTCACCGTGACATTGACAGAATTTACTTGGATCAACCAGATTATTTGCAAGATTCGATGTTCCCTAACATAAGATGAATGCAGTTTTGGTCAAAACCTCTTTGTTCATTGAATAATACCTATCACGTTTTTTTAGTATTTTCAGGAACTGTAGCATTTCAGTGTTATTGGTGTAATATGGTCTCTAAGCCTTCTTCACATTAGCTTGCCGAGCTGCGATCCAGGTAAGTCTCAGAATGTCAGTTATCTGAATTATTTGCATGTATCAGTGAGGACCTCTAGCAATTAATTTTATTATTGCACTGCTAGATGCGGATTTTCTGCAATGATAATTTTAGCCCTTCAGCGGAGAAATTTTTTTAGACCATGTGTATAAAGAGGTGGTTTGACCTGACACCCCTCCCCTTGGAAATATCCCTTTTTTTCAGTTGACCACACGGTTTAAATATGGTTTAATGATATGTAGAAAAATGCATGGGTTTCTGTGATGAAAGGCATAAGTTGATGATTTCAGCCACATCCCTGGACTGCCCCTCACATTTTACATATGATAAATCGGGCGGCGATTGTTCCTCTGGCTACCATACTTTTGATGGTCACCCTGAGAATCCACGGCTCAAATTACATGGGATGTGAGCCAGGGCATGTAGGAACCATCATAAGGCAATACACTGTTTTACATCTTGCAGATTGTGGTAATAAAGAAAGGGAATATTAAGAAAAATGGAATCTTCAGACTGAAAAAACTTTTAAATTGTTTTAATACTCCCACCACTAGCTAAAAGTTGCAACATTTTATTAAAGATTTCTTTTTCCAACTTGCTGTTAACTGTTTCCAGCCTAAGCTTTTCATAAATGAAATAGCAAAAAAGTCACGTTCTCATAAAGTAAACTTTACAAAAGCATTAAAGATAGAAGTTAATCATTCTAAGGATATACCTTTCATCACATTGCACTGTGCCGGAAACATCTCTTGGATGTGGCCAGAATGAGGTCGTTTCTATTCCAAGCATGTAGGTGAACTGTCTGTGCTCTTCCCTCAGTGGATGTTACAGACACCACCATGTGGGCCTGATATATTAATGCAGGGCCCATCTCATTTTTACAATGTGTTAGCAAACAAAATTTGATTGTGCTCAAAATGTTTTTGGTAAAGATTCATGAACACAACAACTGTAATGCCTTTGAGGCAGAGAGAGACACTCAATGGGTAATTTTGATAAAGTCACCAGTTTAATAAGCAGATAGACTCCAATTCAGTTTTTTTTATTAAAACATCAAGATGACTGGTATGACCAGTATTTTAGTAGGAATCCTTTTCAGGTTCCTACATTTGTACACTTGAAATTAATTAAGAAAAGTTACCAAAGCCCTATTACATTTTCTACTCTGAGCAGTATTCCTTTTTCACCCCACCCCCTATGTGATTCAGTTTATTAAACAGAAAATAAAGCCTGAAGCTTAAGATGACAATGTCAGGTTAACAAACCTTAATTAAGTGATCAAAAGTAGTAGTGGTCAAAATTAAATGTTTTCCACCACATTGATAGTTGTTTTCACTGTTTCTTCTTGCTAAGGCGTTTAGCATGAGTCATCATCATCCTGAAATAGAAAAGACAAGCTCTAGTAAGTTGTCATTAGTTGATACAGGTCATTACATTAAGCCACATTGACTTAATTTTGTTAATAATATCCATGCAGACTAGACTACTGAAAATCCACCCAACCAGGCAACGAAGAAAGCAGCAAATGTCAACAAAAACAGGTAAGATGACTGTCTTGGTGTTTGCACATTAAAAATGTCAATGAATTTGATCTGGACAGGTCACCATGAAAAAAAGATATGTATGAAGCTATATAAAGATGTACCTGCTTGCAACAAATGGTAGGTAAGAGAAGATGTATGCGTAAGTCAGGTAAGGGTTCCTGGATATCCAGATCTCCTCCAGTCTGTTCACCATGCCCACCATGAACAGCCAGGCACAGCGAGATGCCGGCAGGTCGTTGGCATGGATAGGGTCCAACTTTGGGTCCAGGTTTAGTGACTGCAACACAATAATGCAATACTACTAATAATTCTCTGGTTTTCCACATGTGTCGTGTCGGATTAACTTACTCAGCTGACTTCGAAACAACAATAGGGTCCCCACAAGGTGACAGTCTTTCCCCCGTACTGTTCACCTGCTACTTAGCATCTGCACTTTCCACAGTCAGGAGGTACTCTACAAGACCCAACCCTCCAATATCACCACTTGGCTTGCCATTGGAAATGGAATATGCAGACGATGTCGATTTTATCGACGAGGAAAGAGACACGTTAGAAGGACTACTGCCGGTAGCTGCTAACAATCTGAGAGACTCACATCTATTCATGAATGAAGCCAAGACAGAATTTACCCATGTTTACTTGGCAGACACACTGGAAAAAGATGAGAATGAACAACCACTCCGTGGCAACGAGGAATGGAGAAAGAGTAAAATCCTAGGCTCCCTCCTCTGCAGCTCATCTGACATAGCAGCACGGTGCACCATGGGCAACATAGCGTTTAAGTCCCTCTGGAAAATATGGATTCGACGATCAAAAATTCCATTAAAAAAGAAGCTGCAACTGTACAATGCCACCTGCGTGTCAATCATGCTCTACAACTGCAACAGTTGGGCAGCACCACAGACAGCGATAGACAAGCTAGATGCCTGCCACCGGAAACATCTAAGAACAATCACAGGACATCGATGGCCAAACAGTCTAATCTCAAACAAAGCACTGTACAAACTGTGCAATACAGGCCCGTTGTCAACTAAAGTGAAATGTGCCAGATGGACCATGTTCGGACACATTCTAAGAATGCCGACAGATACACCTGCACAGCAAGCCTTGACCTTCGCCCTGGTAGGATCTAATACTTACAGACCCAGAAAGGGAAGGCACTGCAGTAACCTACTAAGTCTGCTGAGGGCAGACCTCAAGGAAAGAGGACTAGGACCATTGCGGTCAGAAAGAAAACTCCAGGAGCTCAGGAGGCTCGCGATGAACAGGACAAAGTGGAGAGAACTGAAGAAAGACTGATTGATGCTGCAGGATGCAGAGCTACTGCAGCAGCAGAATACAGTGAACTACTACTTTCCACATGTGTATTTTCATACAAATTACTGTAGTTTGATAGTAGAAATCTGAGTAGACATTATCTATGTGTTATGTTGTAAGTCATCTTCATCTTTGGCAGGTCAGTCTTGTAGACTATCTTGTAGACTACCCCTATCTATGTGTAGTAGATCCTGCTATTTCATACACAAAAACGTACAGTAACCAAATGTTTGCAAACCAATATTGCTAATAATTCTTCAACTGCCATCAAATTTGTGCACCATTTTGTAGAACACGGAAGATGTTAGATATGTACCTTGTCTGGTTCTCCCACCATGGCATTCTGTACAACATTGGACTCCACTGGACCAGGGGCTGCTATCAGGACATCAATGTCATAGGAGTGGAGCTCTGCCCGTAGTGCCCCGAAAATACCCTGGAGCAAAAAAAAGGCACATTTTGAATAAACAGACAGGTTAAGGATGCTCCATACCGTAGCTCTGATAGAAAATTTTATTTTCAACAACTATACCTGGAAAACTTCCTATTCTTTCTGCAATAGACTGTTATGAAATCAACTTTGATTAGATCAGATTAATGAAATACACATTTGTCAAAATGTTTACTTACTCTAAGAGCAAACTTGCTGCCACAGTAGGCAGATGTGCGTGGTGTAGGGATGACACCTGATGTACTCCCGGTCACCACGATCTGCCCCTCCCCTCGCTCCATCATGTGAGGGAGGACGGCCTTGGTCAGCGACACCTGCCCCAGGACATTCAGCTCCAGGATGAACCTGTCCCCGTCCAGGCTCGTGTCACAGAACAGCGACCGCTGGCTCCGGCCACTGTTGTTGATGAGGACGTCAATCTGGTAATAAACAAACCAAAGAAACATTTTAAGGTACTGGCCTGCATGCATGCTTTTTCTGCAGAGAGTGAACTGTCCCTTTAATTCTATGTAATTCGAAGCCTGATTGTTATAATTCAATGTTGGTACACTTTGAATAAAGAATGGATTTTATAAGGCTTAGCACCTGTCTACATAAACTAATGGGGGATAAATAGCTGATACCTTCCTTAATGTAGCACTGTCTTGGCAGACACACCTCCACCTCTCCAATTTTGTTTTGAGAAAAGATGTCTTACCTTGCCAAAGTGAGCAAGAACACGCTCCACACATCCAGCATGGGTGTCATAGGCGACAGAATCCAAGGGTATGACCAGCACATCACTGTCAGCAACTTTCCCTGTTTCTTTATAAGGCACAAGAAGAGGGGTTGGAAACCGTTAAACATTCACTATCCATTTAATCCGAACACAACTCTTGAATTAGTAAGGGTAAACTTTAGTAGTAATGCATTGCTTTGTCAGAGTGATGACTCTTACCGACACATCTCTGTTTAACTCTGTCCAGTTGGTCCCTCCTCCTGGCAGACAGCACCAGTTTGACCCCCACCCTGCCCAGCTCCACGGCCAGGGCCTCTCCTATCCCACTGGACGCTCCTGTGACCCACACCACCTTACCGGCTAGTTTGGCTGGAGGAAAGAGAGACGATACTGTAAGTCTTAAAATATTTGCAGTTTTGCCTTCATATCTTTTTGCCCATTGCCTGTTATTGTTGTTGTTATTGGGTTGACCAGCTACTGTCTCTTTGAAGCCACTGCATGTGCACAAGGCTGAGTTGTGAGGAGCTACAATTGGTGGGGCTGAATTGCAAGGATCTGAAGCGGCTGCCATTCGGCGCACATCACTGACAGGTGACCTCAATACGACCCCAAGTGTGGCCATAGGAACCATCACAACGTCAGTAGTGCAGAATTTCTTGAAATACATCCCACACTCACAAACTAAAACACTGCAGAAGCCTTGTTCCACCACACCGCAAAATTAAATCCCCTCAAACCTAACTGAATTTACAGTTATCTGTCTCACCTGGACTCTCTCCAAACCTCTCGTACCACATGAGAGAGAGATCTCCATCTGCCATCCACAGTCGGAACAACTGTACCAGCAGCACCAGCAGAACCCCGTATACGATATACTCCAGCATGGCTGTTGACTGTCAGAGGGCAAACATCATGAAAGAATCATTCCAACCACTCCATCATTGAGAATTAAATTTCTTAGCTAGAAATTATTTACTAGACTAAACTACTTACTCCTAGAATTTAACCACACAGAACTAGAACTTTAGCCACTCATAGTACTAACATATGAGAGACACAGTCTGGTAGCTCAATTAGAATCATATGACAGTGTCAAAGTTTAATGTCAGACACTAGACTTACTGGTATTCTTCTCTCTCTTCACCAGCAATTAGCTATTCAGCAGTATCTGCAACCACCTGTTATCTATAGAAATGCTTCAGCATGTGTATGTGTATTGGAGCTAGAAAAATTGCAAAAATAGGGCCATGACTTGTTCCAACCCCAAGAGGACTCTGGCTCTAAAAGAGGCTATAAGCCAACTTACCTTTAAATTGTCCCAGAAAGCTGGGCTTCTTAAAAGTCCAAAGGTCCTTGGTCTTATATAGTCTCAGACCTATTAAAGACAAACTGGTTTATCTTAGCTGAAACTTAGTCGTACTGGTTCTTACCGTTGTGGTGATTTCGGTGACGCATAAAATGGACTGGCAACTCAGCACACTTCTTGACTGGACCCAGGCATTTAAGCCAGGTTGTGATCTAGGGTCTTAGGTCAGGTGTCTAGGACTCTACCACTTTTCTCGTGGGGGTATACAGAAACTTCCGCACGTTTCGGCTGTCTCGTCATCCTCTCTTGTAGAATTACACTAGTCCTTGGTAAGGGTTTATGCCACGTGGGTTTATGCCGTGAAATCGAATGAAAGAATGCATTCACAGTATTTTCCACTTTGCCTTCTTTGTCTGTCACACGCGAGATACGTACATACGCCCTGTCAATAGCGCTCCTGGCGGTTAAGTTTAGTATTGCATAATGAGAACCGGTTTGTCTCCCTTGGTTTAGTCCGCCGGGAAAATCGTTTCCATGAGAAAAGTGACACGACAACGTCCGAGCTGATGCATGCATACGTGAATGATAAATATTTTGTCTGTGTTCAACTGAGATATGCGATTGAGAAAGTGTGAAAGAAATATACATTTGCAACCTGCCACATTCATTGTGGATACGGGATGAATCTTTCACTATGCATGGTATCATTTGAAACCATTCAGGTAAATTTGCTTTAAACACGTCAAAAATATCTCATGGTTTTTCTTTTCCTTGCCCGTCTTTTACCGTCTTTTACCTTTTTTGTGGTTTTTATTTTCGTATGACATGAATTTTCCTATGTTGAGGAATGGACAAAATTATACATTCCTCAACATCTAAACAACACAATACTGTCGGTGCTATTACATGTATGCATACCACTTTGACGGGAATAATGTCACGAGTGAATACGAACAAATGTCGCTAAGATGTCATTTTGAACATCTTGAGCGGTCCTCCTGACCACAGACAGGAAGAGTTAGGTGGTGTCCGAAGGACAGGTGTTCCAGTTGGGCTCTCACAATCAATACACGCATGCGCGTTTGAAGAGCGCGCGGCAGGTTGCTATATGTTCTTCGGTATACCTTCCCGGTAACGAACTCCCTTTCCCATATTGCCATTCGACGATATCTATAATAGAAGTCTCCTTAATGGGTTCATAAAATGCATCAATTTGTCTATGTCAATTTCATGGTGGCCTCTCCCGATACACGAGTCATAGCGGGGAGGACTCAAGTCGATGGGTGTAGAGTTATTTCGGGCTGCGTATGATCACTACAATTACAGGGTTTTCTCTTCGGTCTTTGGCGCTCGTAAATAATTGAATCCGACATAAGATAGCCGGCAGAGTCAGGCTCCGTGAAGACGCGTACGTGAGAGGGAAAATTTGTATGTAGATCTTGTTGAAGAGCGGTGGAATGATGGTAAAGCGTTGGGAGATCCTCACATCTCTGGGAGACAGCTATTATGTTACAACGTTACCACTTGCAGCGAGCTGCTACCGACTGGCGGACGCTCCAAGCTTGAATCGTTAAAACTCCGCAGGGCTCCAGTGTTCCCCTTGTGTTTAGGACTTACCGGCCGTCTTTTTTTTTCCACCGTGAATGCCCTCCGTGTGTTCCCAGGGTCGGCGCTGTCAGACGACACAGAGAAACGCCGTCGGAGCGAGCGTCACTGAAAGGGGGGAAGCCAATCAGGGTGTCACCGGGCCGAGCGGATTTCTACACCCGACCCAGCGTGTCTGCTCCTGGTGGGGCCAGCGGGCCGTATGCACCGGTCTCGGGGTATTGAACTGCCGCTGACTCAGTACTGAGAGTACCCGGGGAGCTGGATGGGTCGCACCGGCCGCGGGAAAGGGTAGAGAAAGTAGGGAAGAAACGAGAAGCCTTCAGCTGGCCCAGGACAGAGAGGACCGGAGACACCTGTACAGCAGATACAGGTAAGAACATTCTTTCACTTTACAGCTACACCTAGCGCGTACGGCTTTCGAGGTCACTGATATTGTATTTTTGCTATTCGCTCTATAAAGATACATTATTATTAAAATAACTCTTAAATAAGTAGGGTAACTATATCAGATATGAAAATATACAATACGTTGCTGTATCATATAATTTCTCATTGTCAGAAATTGCGGCAACATGTTAAATCAGATGAAAATTTACTATAGCGAAACCTTTATTATTCCCATGTATATATTTGTTTAGGAAAAATAATTGTAGTTATCATTCCGAAGTATATTTATTATCGTGAATTGTTCGCGTTGCCGTAAGTCTCTTTTTTTTCGGTTTACCGATATACCGTTATGTAATCATGGAATACCAATACTCTAGGTTAACCAACGATATCTACCGTACGTGTAGAAAATACCAAAATATGTCGGTGCCAACGTAAGGTCGACACATAATAACTACCAACTTCTGCCAAGACATTGCGTCCAGTTCTGTTGTAATTGGTTCAATCCTTTTGTATTGCATTTTCTACATATTGTCTACAGTTGCTCTTGTTCGAAGGGAACGTAAGACTTTAGCCAAAATCACGCAAATACTACCCTGAGTACCGGCCCCAATTAATGTGCTAACGAAGATGACACAAGGCTATACAGGTAGAGTAATTCGACATGGCAGCGCTAGCGATTTTTAAAAATATTTTTTTACGAAAAGCAACTACGTCGAAACAAAGCTACTACTACTAGAACATTCCTAGTGGCAGGCAAGGGAAATATGTACGGCAGTATTCTTGGCAGCACTAGGCTCTGGCCTGCACGATATATACATTAGCTAAATTACACTAACTGTCTGCCAAGCCCTGGGTTTGCCTCTTTACACAGGCTGTTAAGGGACCATGCGGCGTTTTATTTCCGCACTGTGTTTGTTTTATGTGAATTGTAGTGCGAATTCATTGCATATAGGTCGGGGGCACAGTTCAGGACTTAGGTAGTATTCATGATCCTCTTAAATTCACAAAAAAACTAATCATTTTTATACATATTGGCCCTGCTATTGTCCATGGCCCTATTTTGTAAGCTCAATTCTTCCCGGGTCCCAAGCAGTTTTTTTAATGATTGATTGTCTAAAATGCAGATATACCCTTTGTTTATCTTACGAATGGTTCTGAACATTTGCACATATTTTATTTATTTGTTCATTTATTTATTTATTTATCACGATTTACCACAAACGTTTTTTTAAATAAATTCCTACTGTACTGTTAGTCTGAGCTTAATGCAAATGCAAATAAAGATGTCATTTTAATTTTGAGCATGTATATAGGATGTTGTTAGTCGCGTAAGCCTATAAGTAAATGAGAACAATTTATCCCGTTTTAGATTGCATAACATACATAATGTTTAGCTATTGATACGTTCTTTCGAAAACTTTGCAGAATTCTTTGTAAATTTAGCCCGTAGTTGTTTTAACAGTAACATGACGATTTATTACCAATGCTTTTGTTCGGATGTTTTTTTTTTTTAAGCTCAGGGTCAGGCGAGGCTATTCCCGGCCCCCATCGTGTCAAGTAATAAGTGCGCCAACGCCCAAACAGAACAGCTTATGTAAGGCAATGCGAGTTTTAATTGTTAGGAGGCATGGCCTGTCCCTGAAGTACTCGAAAATGAATTTGCCATTATCAGTGACAACAACTGTGCTTGAGGCCCCGCCACAAGCCCACCGTGTCAGCAGTTTTGTATATCGACCTATCGGCTCTAACTCTCTGGTAGTAAAGAATCAATACTTGAAGATACAATAGGTCCTTATCTATAATGATCCACGTTAGCTTCGGTGATGTGAATTGCCGGTTTTTTATATTTTTTGGTTTGGCCGTCGTACGTCCCAAAGTGTTTATGTGTCGCTACAATTGGAAGTGCAGAAAAACTACAGAAGTTTGCAAGATGATGCGTAAAAATAAGGCGTATCCGTCGTAAAATAGTCTAACGACATTCTGGAGACAGTCGTGGGTGTGTCGCACAGACTCTCGCTGTCTTCTGATAGAATCGGTAGATCCTTGTGGTGGGTTCTGTAGTGGGCTCGCATAATGGGCTAATTCGGCAAATTAAAAAGAAAATCGTACAACGAATGAGACTATGCCTAAACGTTACATGTACAAACGTTGCAGCATTCAACCAAACCGAGAGTCCCTCTGAACTTCCATTAACGTTAACTAAACGTACCCGCATAAAATGCGAACCATCCCGGATTCACTTACAACGTCAATGACTCAGAGAGGGGCCGTCTTCAGAACAAAACTCATCCAAGTTCTTGGCTGAAGACCAAGGTCGCCCACATGTTAACCGGAAGCAAGTTACGCCTCGCAGATGAAGTACGAGGTACATTTGTCACGGAGGTGTTGATGTATGGATGCTACCCAGTAATTGCACCACACAGATATTCAATATACTCACCCGTCTGCAGAGAGATAAATTACACCCACACATACTTCTGTACGGAGGGTCGCCGGACGTGAAATATGTATTTGTCGTGTTTAGATACGATATCAAGTCTGGGATACTTGGATATTTTATTGACTCCATTGGCTATTGTACATTAATCAGCAATTTGGCGATTGGCAGATTTGCATTTTTATATGTGCTCATACAACCAACCAGCCAACCAACCAGCCAACCAACCAGCCAGTCAGCCAACCAACCCGTGACCTAGAAACAAACAAACGTATAAACTTGTATGAAGAAGAAAGTGTCAACAAAGCAATCTTGTAGCTTGTAAGCGCTTAAGCATGAAGTCTAACCTACGGGGAGGAGGTTGTAAAATAGTTATCTCACTAATAATGGTACGTATTTTTATTATGTACAGCGTGGGCTACGTTTCTCATCTTCTATAAGCCTCTTCTGAGAATCTCTTCCTAAACTATTGCTCTGAAGGGCGGTTATACTGGCTGTACAATATAGCTACAGATACGTGTGTCCGTGTCTAGGATATGCCCTTTTGTCAAAGATGCTAAGATGTATTCCAGACAGACTTTAAGATATGTACAACGTCTAATCCCTGGTTATCTGCACAGTAAGTCTTACGGCAGATCGTCCTCATGTCCGAGTCCAGTCAGCCGTTTATGCCCGTTATCAGGCCGATCGTGGCGGTGAACTCTTTCCCAGGATTACCCGGGTCACAGACGGGGCAGGTTTTCACACCTCGTACCCAGGCTCTCCATCCCGACAACGCGGTTGGAATAGAAATCAGCCCCGTCCCCTTTCCATGACCCCTCCCTCTGTGTAATCCGTGGAGCTAAAAGCATTGGAACTGTTCGATTAAATGGTGCCAAACGCTTTTCCGTGTCCCCTTAATTTTTGCCGGCCCGAGTAGCAACAGTGGTGTCGGTGAGATCAAAGCTTGTGTGAAGGACAGGGTTGAATAATTTTAACCGACAGCGGCTTGCCTTGAAACACGAGGAGTTTTCCCTCTAATTTTTCTCGCTCTAGATTTTCCTTGAGCGGCCGCCGCGGGGTAGACAACATACTCACTGTGGCGTGTACCCCGGCAACGGTCCGGTATCAAGTAGGAGGGACGCGGACAATACAGCAAATCTTCACGGTCTGGACCGTATAGTTGTTCTTTTCTCTTCCATTCTGTGCTTCAACAATGTCGGCTTGAGTCTATTAATTTTCCCCTCATCCTAGTTACACAGCCGCCTTTGTGCAGAGAAACCGAACAGATTTTTTACGTGGTCGCGATTTTGTGACGGAAGGCCGCGTGGGGTACTTTCTTTTTAAAATTCAACTGTAAACACGAATTACACACAAAAAGGGAATTGTTTCATATCCCCCTCCTAGTCTGACGGCTGGAATATTTCATTTGCTGTTCCGGAATTCCATGGGAATAGGTCATTTAACCAGCAGCTGTCAGTACCTTAAATTATCATATCCCAAAAATGTAATAAAGCAAACAAATAAGAATATGTAAAAGCACTTTTGCAAGAAAAAAATAACATCGCAACAGCGTCAACCTTAGCCAATGTGAATGTTGATATTTTTGTTGTTCTAGTCTTATTGGCTAAGGTAAAACAATAATGCGCGAAGCAAACGTGTGAAGAAAAATTGCGCTATGATTTAAAGTGGCAGTGCGATAATTCAGTGAAAAATACGGGTTTGAGCGTATGCTTGCACGGCTCGCGCCAAGATCGAATTTCACGTCTGAGATCCCTGTATGTTACTGAGACTTATAGGGTCGCCCAGTGTCACGGATAGCGGTATATATAATTCATTGCATAGCCATTAGAGCGTGGGTTCCATCAAGAGCTGTGGCAAATGGTTTGTAGGGGGATGTGGTG